TCACTACAAAGCTACAAAACAGTGTGGTTATGGCATAAAGATAGACATACTCATCAGTGGGACAGAATTGAGAGTCAAGAAATAACACCTTCTCATTTACAGTCAATTATCTTTTGACAAGAGTGCCAAGATGATTCACTGGGAAAAGAATAGTCTTTTCAACAAATATTGCTGAGAAAACTGGATATTCGTATGCAAAAGAAAGATGTTAAATCCCCTTCCTCATACCATACACAAAAAATTAACTCAAAATGGATCACAGACCTAAATTTAAAAGCTAAAACTATAAAACTCTTAGAAGGAAATATTGGAGAAGATCTCTGTGACCTTGGGTTAGGCAAAGCCTTCTTAGATATGATATCAAAAGCACCAGTGGCAAAAAGAAAAATTAGATAAATTGTACTACATCGAAATTTAAGACTTTTGTGCTTCAAGAGATACCATCATGAAAATTAAGAGAACTCCACTGAATGGGAGAAAATATTTGCAAATCATATATTTAATAATGGGCTTGTGTCTAGAATATATTAAAACCTCTTATAATTCACTAATAAAAATACAAATAACCCAATTTTAAAATGGGTTATGAGTAAGGATCAGTCCAGGCAAAGTATAAATAAGTCATCAAACTATGAGATTCCTGGAATAAAAATGCTCTAGGAATTCAGAGAAAGGAACAACCCATGCAGGCTGGAGGAACAGAGTTTGAGCTCTGTCCTTTGGGGGATTATTAAAAACATGATCTCCAAGTTTTAGGACCTGTGTGTCCAGTAAAAATAACAACCAGTGAGTAAGGTTTGAAGAGAGAATGATCTGGAATTCTGGACACAGGCACCTGTTGGAGGAATAGTTCCTACGGAGGCCTTAGGGGCAGCACAGAGCAAGGAACACAGGGAGACTAGGAGACAGAGAGAGAAGGTTGCAGAAGCCAGATGGATTAGGGCGTTTAGGTCAATATACTGGCTTTTTTTTTTTTTTCACTCTAAGTGAGATGGGGAGTCAGTAGATGATTCCAGAGTGCAGTGCTCTGGCTTCAGTCGACGTCAAGGGCAGAAGCAAGGGTATCACTTAGGAGATTATATACAATAACTCAGCTGAGAGATAATGATGACTTGGATCAGAGAATAATAGTGGAAGTGGTGAGAAGTGGTCAGATTTCAGAACAGTTTGGAGGTACAGCCCAATGTATCAATAGATACCCCAGAGGAGATGGCCAAAGTAGGCCGATTTTCAAGGATTGTGACCAGCATTTGAAAATGCCTCCAGGGCAGGATTTTTCAGAGCTTGGGCAGTGGGAGTTTGGGAAGGATTACCTCCTGTGACTCCAGCCATAACCCCACAGCAATTCCCAGAAGACACCAGGAGAGGCCATGTCAGACCATCTTCATTTCATCCCCAGGCTGTTCATTATGGTCCTTTTGGCTTTCTCTTTATCTGATCTGTCCAAGCTATGCACAGACAAGCACCCATCCTAAGGCTATTCCTTACCCTTTACATGGTCATCCTATCTAACATGGTAAAGAGATTAGTATACACAGTAATTTGCTTCATGATTTAAGATGCTGAACTACTCTTAGATTGAAGAGCAAACTGTTTAACTGTGGGAGAGTTATCAAGGGCCAGATCCAGAAAGCCCACTACCAACTCAGCTGGGTTTTAAAAAACACCTACTGGGGCTTCCTTGGTGGTGCAGTTGTTGAGAGTCCACCTGCCGATGCAGGGGACACGGGTTCATGCCCTGGTCCGGGAAGATCCCACATGCCGCGGAGCGGCTGCGCCCGTGAGCCATGGCCGCTGAGCCTGCGCGTCCGGAGCCTGTGCTCCGCAATGGGAGAGGCCACAACAGTGAGAGGCCCACGTACTGCAAAAAAACAAAACAAAACAAAAAAAACACCTATTGTTTTATAATAAGTACCTTCGGAACTTTAAAATCACACTGCATTTTCACTTCTTATAGCTCATAAACCATGTTCCATGCATCAACCCAGATCCAAAGGTTGGCCTGATAAACCCAGATGCTAAGTTTTTTCCAAGAGAAAGGAACAAACATTTGCAGATTCTTTTATGATACCTTATTAATCTTCCTTTTGAGAAGAAAGCTCAGATTCAGAGAGGTTAACTAACATGCCAAAGGTTACACAGCAAAGAAGTGGCAGAATCGGGAATAATAGAATCAGTAGCTCTGCTCCATCACACATCCCAGATCTGTACAGCATTCCTCCGCTCTTCAGAACCCATCAGCCCTTTAGCTCTCCTGGTGTAGTCAAAGGAGGTCCCTCTGGAGCAATCACATGTGGATTCAGGAAAAGCAAGTTCCTCCTAAACCCTTTGGGATATGAGACATGTGACCCCAAAGAATGAGTCATGACTTGCCTTTATTTTTTTGGTCCTTCTTGGATTTTAAATATTTGAGATGTTTTGGTCCACAACTTCAAACTTCCTAGAGCAGGGCATGTGGAGCCTGGCACAATCTTCAGCAGCAAAGACATGATCGACTACAGATTTCCATTTCCAACAAACAAACTTGTGCTTAACAATAAGGCACAGTCTTGTTGGGGCAGGGTGGGGGGGAGGGGGTTCTGATTTCATCCCCATTTTACAGATGGGGAAAATGAGATTCAGAGAGGTTAATTCACCCCAAACTCACACAACTAGTAATAATAGCAGGGCCTTTGCTTTGTGCAACAGCACAGGATTATTCCCATTGCTTCTATGAATAACAAATAGTGTGCTTATCTAGAGCTTACTGTGAAGGAGACTTATGTTGAGTTAACCCAGCCCTCACAAAAACCCCATGAGCGGGGTGCTAGTCTTATCATCCCCATTTTACACAAGAGGAGACTGAGGCATAGTGGTATTAAGTAGCTTGTTCAAGGTCACAGACCTGGTAGGAGGCAGCTTCAGGATTCACACCCAGACAGCCTGGGTCCACCGACCATATGCCATTAACCGCTCCGTCATGATCCTCTCTCTGCCTCTCCTGGCAGTGCCAGATTCGGACAAGATCATCTGAGTCTAAGTCCTGGGCTCCCTCATGTCTCTTTGGGCCAGTGCAAAGCCCGGGCTCCAGTCCAAGGGGATGAGCACACAAAGGGAGGAGAAAGTATGTTGGGTGAATGCAATCTGCAACAGGTGCACAGCTCTACAATGAGACAGAACTGGTTCCCCAGCCCGATGACTCTGCAGGAAACTAATGTTATAGCAGGAAACTAATGTTATACAAATACAGACCCAGCTGAGTGATGCCTGGGAGACTCCTGCTCTCTGTCTCTTTGTCTCTCCTTCTCTCTCACACACTCACACACACTCACACTCACCTGCTGCGTATTAAAATTTCCTCCATCACCTACCTTTACAAGTGGCCCTGCCAGTGGAGGAAGCAAAAAGCAAAGATCTGTAGATGTGGTTGGTTTGCAGCTGCCAAAGGGACAGGTTGGTGGGCAAGCACTGAATAGAGTGCACACTCTGTGGGGTCCTGGCATTGTCCAAAGCCGGGCAACAGGGCGTTTTCTCCACAGGGGTGTGAGGGTGAATGTGTGTGTGCGTGTGCGTGCGGGGGTCACAGCAGGGACTATGGCACCAGAGTAGTGAGTAACACATAAGGAAATGGATCCACGCATATCAAAGGCAAGAAATATGTGCACAGTGATTAGGAAAACACAGTCATTCTGACGTGGGGGCGGAGATTGTGGTCCTCTTTCATGTGGAGCAAAAAAACCCTTAAACTTATATTGACTGTGTCTGAGAAAGCCCCAGCCACAGGGACACAGGTGAGTGTGACCAACGCAGGAAGTGCTGTACTTCTAGCTGCAGAGCTGCATCTACACCCTGATGATAATTGAAGGACCTCAGTTATTAGCTGGCACCCGCCCCCTCGGACTGCTGCCCCCTCGGGTGCCCCTGTGTCCACACAAAGCCTGATGAATCCTATGGGGCAACTCACTCGGAAAGATCCCAAGCCTTCCTTAAAGAGCCAGGGAGACCTTCCATTCTGGACCATCTGTCCTGGCACAGAAATGCTGGGGCAGTGGGAAGTGGTCCTAGGAATGGCTACTGGTTAGGAAAAAAGGACAAAAGAAACACAGAAGGAAGAGGAAACGAGCATTAAAAAACACCTCCCAAAATGCAAACCTCGCACAGTGCTTCTGACCCAGGTGTCCCAGTCACACACTGTTTTTAGTGATTTGCATTACAGCAGGAGGCAGGGTGGGAGTTCTAAGAATGGGACATTAGTATCCCCCGTGAGGAGAGAACTGGTAAAGAATATACTTAGTTATAAGCATTTTGGAACCCCTCCCCACTCCCCACTCTAAACAGAAGAAATTCATGAATCTCACATTGGGCTGCTGTTACCTGCCTGGGACTGTTCACAGAGTTAATGGAGTTTTAAGGGGGCAGAATGAGATAAAACTGGAGTATAATGAGAAGCTGAGATTCCCATTGGACAGGACAGAAAGGGACTGAAGGAGAAATGGACAGATCTGCTAAGGAGCTAAGGAGCGGGGAGGGGGAGGAAGGAGGGTGGGAATCACACTCCAGAAGCTGAGTTCAGGAGTCTGCATGTAGTGAGTGGAAGGGAGGAAGGGCAGGACTTTGGAAGCAGGAAGGGGAGGTGGGACTTGAGAGTGGAGTGGGGAGGGAGACCCAGAGAGAAATTATGCTCTGGTGATGAATTGAATATCCTTCTCATAGTTTTTTGTTTGTTTGATTTGTTTCATTGTTTAAAACCTCAGTAAACAGTTAAATCCTTTTTCTTTTTTAAAAAATTTATTTCATTTATCTTTGGCTGCATTGGGTCTTCATTATTGCGAGCAGGCTTTCTCTAGTTGCGGTGAGTGGGGGCTACTCTTCCTTGCGGTGTGCGGGCTTCTCATTGCGGTGGCTTCTCTTGTTGTGGAGCATGGCCTCTAGGCGCACGGGCTTCAGTAGTTGTGGCACACGGGTTCAGTAGTTGTGGCTCACGGGCTTAGTTGCTCCGCAGCATGTGGGGTCTTCCTGGACCAGGGCTCGAACCCGTGTCCCCTGCATTGGCAGGAGATTCTTACCACTGTGCCACCAGGGAAGTACTTAAATCATGTTTCAGTTAATTTGCAGATTGGGTGGATGTCTTCAAATGAGGGAGTGAGTTCAGATGAGTGACAAGGTAATTTTGTTAAGGTTTCATTCCGTTTCAAACTCCATGGGCTTCCTTGGGGTGTCTGGATAGAGAGGGAGCAGGGTAAGGCTAGCAGACAGAGTCTGGGTCCTCCTCTATCTCAGCCAGAATCACTACACTCCATTTTTTAAAAATCAGTTTCATCAATAACAATGATTTAGTCTGTGTCCCTCACCCTATCGAGAGATAAACTGAGCCCTGGAGGTTGTGATTCACCCAAGCTCGAGCTGCTTAGTTCTCGAGCCAGCACCAGCCCTAGGTACACGTTTCTGCCTCTGGACACACAAATATTTCCGATCCATCCTGTGCTCTGCTCCCTATCTGGGAGTGGGCAGTTTAGGCTTTCACTGGGAATGTGAGGAAAAAAAATTAAAACCTAGAGTAAAACTATTCCACAACTACTACATCTAATATATACAAATGCCACCATACAAAATGGAACACCCGCTACTAGAAAGAAAAAGTGCACCAAAATCCAGCACATTTAATTTTACTCCCAGAGCAATAAAATTTGAGTCTATATATTTGTTTACTTAATTCTAAACTCAACCGTGATCTTCTTCAGACAATTCCCTACTTAGTCCAGTGACAACCTGGAAGTAAATGGCATCTTTCCTTGACTCCCTGGCTGAGAGCTCAGCTTTACAACCCGCCCCAGCCGCTCCTTAAAGACACCTGCTCTTTCCTTCCTAACGTCTCAGATCCAGCAGCTGCTATCAACCAAATGCCATGGAAGCTCCTTTACTTATTTAATAAAAACAGAGTTATGACTCTGAGAGGTGACCTGACCAGCCCCAGGCTTATTAATCTCTGACTCCTTTTTCTCACCTGTTCTCTTCTTTTTATGGAAAGGTATGTGCTGAGGCCTCTCTGCTCCCCAGCTGTTTCTAATTATCTTCAAAGACTCACTCAGAGTCAATGATTCAGCACGGCTCAGGAATCTGATTTTGTAAAAAGGTGAGCCTGTTTGGAAACACCACCAGCCTACTGCAGCATTTAACATTTAACGTTAATTAAAAGTTAAGGAGAAGCAACAATGAGACAGCTTTCTTCACACTAAAAAAATCCAAAATATGCAGGCAACTCAAACCAAATCTGAAATGTATTAATTTCAACCAATATCAATCAGTAGGTTGAAAGAATTATGTCCAATTTAAAAATGCCCATTTGACCAATCTAAAAAGATCAGGTTTGACTCTCATCTTTGGGCACCTTGTACCTTACTTTCCCTCCTAGCACCATGGCTGGGGGTAGCCTTTTTCTCTTTACATTCTTCGTGGGCCAATCTAACCCCCTACCCCACGTCCTGTGCCGGGGACTGGAGGTTCCCATGTGATTCTGACTCACCTGCACTAAGGTCGCAATCCAGGAGGGAAATAGAGCCATGGCACCTAAACAGAAGAGAAATACAATCACGGCATATTGAAGTGTGCTGAACTGTGACAGCAAAGATGAGGAAGTAATTTATTCTTCTTAGAGGCATTGTGAAGATTCTCTGCCCTCCTTAGAGGACTGGGTTTTCTATGAGTGGTAGGACTCTCTGGGGACTTGGGGCAGAAGGAACAACATGTATAAAGACATAAGCTTATGAGAACACAGGATCCAGCTCAGAGCAGGCTGAGATTCTCTTCTGCTGCAGCAACACTGGGCAGGTGTTGGGTAATCAAGGGAGGTGAAAATGGAAAGGAAGATGAAAATAGTATTTGCCGCATTTAGAAGATATGACTTTTTTCTGTATGGATCGTTTTTAAATATATGCATTTATCCTTTCTTTCCAAATTACAAAAGTAATACATACTCAGTGTAAAACTTGAAGAATTTTTAAATGGTGGGAAGAATCACCCATAGTTCTATATCTCCAGTGAGGACAGCTGTTAACATTTTCACTCAGTATTTCAGATACACACACAGTCAAGGGACCAGATGTACAGATGGCCTTGTAACTTGTTCTTTTCATTTAACCACATACTGTAAACATTTTTCACTTTCCCTTATGGGATATTAGACCATTTGTAATTTCGCCTTGTTTTAATGAAGCTATGAGGAGCCTGCAGGTACAATTCTGTTTGTTTAGTTGCTCATTTATTGCCATAATTTAAAATCACAATTTATGACTCAAAGTGAATACACATTTTAAGGCCTTATGCATTTATTGCAAAATAGTTCTTGAGAAAGGCTGCACCAATAACTTCATGTGAGGAATTAAATGAGGAAATTTCCTCCTCTTCTTGCTTTATGGGTTCTTGCAATTTTTATAATTTTTGTCAATTTGTTGGCCCAAACGAATACATCATCAACATTTAACTTGCTTTTGATTACTACAAGGGTACATTTTTTTTTTTTAATGTTCATTGACCTTTTGATTTTTCTTCTTTTGTGAAATGCCTATTCCTATTCTTGGACTATTTTTCTATTAGGAGATGTCTTTTTCTGATTTATAAAAGCTTCTCATACATTAATGATAGAAACTTTGTTGCAAATGCTTTTTCCAATTTGTCAATTCTTTGTAATTTTGTGTATGGTCATTTTAGACCTAAGCAAGCTTTTACATTTCTACATAAGCAGAACCATTAATCTTTTCTTTTATGCTTAAAAGGGCCATCCCCCTTCTGAGATCAGATGACTATTTGCCTTCATATTCTTCTATTTAAGAATTTAACACATTATCAATTTACTTGATGTATAAGGTGAGATGAGAATCTAATTTACCGCTGTAGTAGGCTGACTAATGGCCACCCAAAGAGATGAGGTCCTAATCCCTGGAACATGTGCTCCCGTGTAAGTAAAAAGGATCTTGATGATTGAGATTAATTGAAGGATTTTGACATGGGGAGATTATTCTAGATTAACTGGATGGTCCCTAAATCCAATCACAAGTGTCCTTATGAGAGAGAGACAGAGGGAGATTTGACACACAGAGACCAGGAGAAGGTGATGGCAGACGAAGGCAGGGTGTGGGGTGATGCAGCCACAAGACAAGGAACGCCAACAGCCACCAGAAACTTGGAGAGGCAGGGAACAGATTCTCCCCTAACGCCTCCAGAGGGAGGGAGGCCCTGACAACACCTTGCTTTCGACTCAATAAAACTGATGTCCAACTTCTGGCTTTCAAATCTGAGAGAAAAAATTTCTGTTGTTCTAAGACACCAACTTTGCGGTAATTAATTATAGCAGCCCTAGGAAACTAACACAACACCCCACCAAATAGTTTTCCTAAAACATTTTCTCACTTGTCTGAAATGTCATCTCTATCACATATAAAATATTTTTATCTATGTATATGTTTGGGTTTTATTCTTTCTATTCATTAGTCTACTCTTACGTTGGTAAACACTTTTAAATATCACGTCTTTTAAATTTCATATCAGGCAATACAAGTATCCCTTTACTAACAAATTAGTCTTTCAGGTAATAGAATTAAGAATAACGTTTCAAGTTCCTTAAAAAATTTCATTTAAGATTAAATGCATTAAATTCACAGATTAATTTGGAAATTGCCTTTTTAAAATATTACTTGTTCCCATCCCCATTCTCTTGTTATAAAAATCTTGTTTTATGTCCTACAATAACTCCCCAAATTTCCTTCCTATAGTTCTTGTACATTTCTTAAGTTTCTACTTAGTTTTTCTGTCCTTCCTCCCTCCATCCCTCCCTTCCCATCCTCCTTCCCTTCACACTCCCTCTCCATCCCTTCCTGGCTTCCTCCTTCCTTTTTCCTTTTTTTCCCCTTTCTTCTGTTGCTGCTTATATAATGTTCTTAAACAGAAAAGTGACATGTGATTTCTTCTTTGGCAGTTAATTTAAATGTCTAACTTTGTTTTGTTATTCTCTTTGGCTAATACTGTGACTTAGGTTCTAACAGATGCCTTGTGGGTGGCAAGAGGCGGTGCAAGTGATGATGTCTGTGTTATGCTGGGGCAGTGGGGCGTGCAGTGTGCAGGCCACAGCAGCGCCTCTTCCGTTTCAATTAGCTCCCCACAATGAAGGGATCATTCTCCACATATTTGAAAATTGGGTACGACAGGGCCTTATGACTTCTTAAAAAAAGGAAAATATGCCTCCAAGGGCCATAGTTAGAAGCTCTCCTATAAAGACCTTAAATTCTCATTGATTGTTGTCAGCCCTTTGTTTTAGATATGCATCCACAGAGTTCTGAACCTCAATCTGGCCCCAATCACGTTTGTATCTGCATAACGCTTTGGCTTCCCAAAACCCTGGGTGTGAGGGTGAGGAAGGCTTTCGAAGGAGAAGAGTTATAGCCTACTATTCAGGTCTGAGAAATAGCCCTCTCATCACATCTTCCAGACCAAGACAGTTGTAAGATAGAGCTTCGTGAAGACTTGCTCTGCAAAAAGAGAGAGAAGGGGAAGATAGGATTCCATTTTTACCAGGGAGAGAAATGAGAAGGAAAAAAAACACAATCTCCACTTCATTTTCAACACCTAACGGAATAGAAAATGCTGGGCAGACAAGCTGAGGCAGTGGTTTCCAGCCTTGGGAATAAAATGAAGCAGATGTTTTAACGGCACCTTATGTGAAGCACCACATTAATAATCACTAAAGATTAATTAATGATGCTGATAATGACTGGAGTATTATTTTTATTAAAGTACAAGAGCAATCTGTAAAAAAAAAAAAAGATATCACCTTCTTAGCTAGGCAGACATTTTATATACTTTAACTCATCAACGTTCTGCCAAGGAAAAGGGAGCACTCTGCCAGGATTTACACTGAAAAAAAAAGTCCTCGGACAAGTTTATATAAAACCCAGGAAAAGTGATACGCAATAAATTAAATATACTGAAATAAGCAAAGCATGAATATTTAACCACTCGACTGCTTTCATTTAAAAGGGAGCCGTGAGACCAAAGCTCGCTCATACGGGATGGAAAGTTGAAGGCCTGGATGGCAGTACCAGAAGCTGTCCTGCATCTTTCTTTATTTGGGAGACTGGCAAACAAAACATGGCACCAATGTGGAATCAAGCTGCGGGCCAGGCCAAACGTTTGCCAAGGGCTGACCGTGCCCCAGAGTCTACGTGGCCAGGGAACTTGGACACAGAGCATCCTGCACATCTAGCTGCTTGAACCATTCATCAGCATCACGTAAGAAGCCTGCAGGCACCAAGTGACCGACCAGAATCATTTTGTTGGGGTCCTGGGATGGGGCCAGCTCCCCCTTACGGAGACCAGTTCTCCTGAGTCAAACCCCAAAGCAGGGGTAAGTGAACATACGTGGAAGCACTAACCAGCCAGTGGGCTGGATGCGTGAGGAAGAGCCTTGGGGTCAGAGATAGCATTTGAGGAAGGGCTCAGAAAGGCAAAATGAGATCCCACTGTCACACAGAGGGACATCTGTTCCAGCCTCAGCGAAAGGAGGCTCTGTATCCGCAGGAGGGTTATCCTCCCTCTTTGGCCCCAGTTTCCATCTCCGCTTGAAAGCCTGCCCTTTGATATTTATATAAAATTGATTCTACACCACCCCATTCTGTCCCCTGAGAAGTCCCAACATTGCTCCCCAATATTTCTGTGCACAAAGCTGGCACACAATTCTCTGCCCTCGTGGGTTTTACTATCTGGGACGGAGAATGGATATAAGACACATAGCAGGGCAAAACCAAAGAGGGCAGATGGACTGACTGGGTTGTGTTCTGAAGGAATATTCCACAGAGCTGCAGAGGGATGGCAAGAAGCAAAGATGAGTGGGAGGCAGCACTGTAGACCATGGGGAGGGAGGCCGTTGCCTTATGGTCTGGCAAAAAGGTTTAGGACCTAATATTATAGGATATTTTCTACCTACCTGGCCCTGTACTGAGAACTTCACATGCACGCTTTTATTTAATCATCACACAGCTCTATGAGATGTGTTATTATCATCACCCCATTTTATGCATGAGAAAACAGAGAGGCAGGGAGCGTGCAAAAAGGAAACACATCGCCCAAGTGCCAGCCTGTACCAAAGCCCAGACTCTCCGTATTCACGCTGCGCTGCTTTCTGATGCAGGGGTGCAGGGGTGGCGGCGCAGATGTCAGCCCAGCATTTGCAAATGTTCTGTGGTCCGTGTCTACGTGGTGTGCAGGACTGCAGGGCCAACGTTCTTTTGGGCTGTGCTAGGGCTGACATATATCTACCATAGACGTGCTTAAAATGCCAAAAGGTAATTGATTCTTGAAAACTAATATTATAGTCTGGCAGGTGGTGCCAGAAGACATAAACTAAAGCAACAGATGAAAGTACCTATAACGGCATCAGCAAGAACAGACTCTTCTCTTAGGATTAGCAGAACACAATAAAAATGCTTCGCGGTTCTATAGCCCTTTCCGCCCAATAGCTCGTTTCCCCAAACACTTATAACCCCCATATGTCTTCATTCTTTTGAACTGCCCCAGTGTTTCTAGCTTGTCATGTAATAGAAACATCTAGAAAATTGTTGTTTCCCCCCTCGATACTATCATTAGAGTCTTTCTTCTGTATTCACCTCATATTCAAGGAGAATGAAGCATAGAGAAACTGAGCGTGTCCTGAATGTGCACGAAGGGGACAGAAACAGGTGAGGAGTCTGAGGATCCAACCTGTCTCTTCTTTGAGAGTCAAGTCATCCCTTTGTGATCAAGAGGCAGAAAAATTCCAGGTTTCCTAGGAAGAGATTATTTACACAAACAGATTCTTATCAGCGCAACTAAAATGCTTTTCACACAATAATGAAAACTCTCAGGGGACATCCACGCAGGCAGCCTTTTTTCCCCGGGGAGCTCTGTAAATGCAAAGGCAGGGGGATAAATGAGACAAGAAAAGCTTTCTTAAAGCGTTACTCACTGCTGGAAAAAGTACTGATTTTGTCGGAGCTTTATAAAAATAGCTCAGGTCAAATGTAATGTGAAATTTGACTTGAGTCCTGCACCTGTCAGCCCTCGGAGAGAAGATTTTCACTCCTAAGGCTTCCGTGTAAGCAGTTTCTCCTGGCTGGGCCTTCAGAACCACGGCCAGCCTTTCAATTCCAGGGTTGAGTCTTGTTGTTTGAACTCCCTCTGCCTCACATTATCTTCCTCCCAATCTGTCAGTGGTATGCCTTTCTGGGTGGAACTACAAGGTTCTGGGTTAAAATGTGACCAGCCACACTGTGGGCGTTTCTCACGCTAGTCAGAGTAAGCCAGGCCTGCCTCTTCTGTTACTACATGGTTTCCTGACTTGTAGTTAGGCCCATTCAGCTAAGATAATAGGCAGTTATTACACTGTGTTCAGATACTAACTCCATTGGTGTGTGTGTTTAACCATATCTGGATTGTGTTTATGAAAGGTGAGGGAATCTTGCCTTCTTTTTTTCCCTTTGGAAAATAATTTAGTGGTGAAGGAGGATTTTACTTTATATAATTATATTCATATTATACAATATATAGAATTATATACATTATATATTTGTTATTTATACTATTTATAATTACCATATCACTAGAGTTTTTACAACTAGAATATAACCATGTACTCTTGTGTCATTTAAAATACATTTTTTGAAGCTTGAATGTCACATTTACCTTCAGAATTTTAAAAAATAGTATGAATATGCTCATTTTAAAGAAACCTTTGGATACACCGATAAAAAGACTCAATTACAGACCATCCGTAATCATATCTTTTTGAGGTAACATCTGATAATTACTTGGACGTACAGCCTTTCATTTTTTTTTTTCTCCTGGACTATATACATACATGGAAATGTGGTAGTCTCCCTTTATCCAGGGTTTTGCTTTCCGTGGTCTCAGTTACCTTCAGTCAACTGGGGTCTGAAAATATTAAATGGAAAATTTAAGAAATAAACTATAAGTGTTCAATTGTGCGCCATTCTGAGTAGGGTGATAAAATTTCATGTGGCCCCAACCCTGTCCTTCCTGGGGATGTGAATCATCCCTTTGTCCAGCGTCCCCTGCCCCTTGGTCACTTGGCAGCCTCCTGGGTTATCAGATCAACTGTCATGGTTTCGCAGTGCTTGTGTTCAAATCACCCTTACTTTACTGAATAACGGCCCCAACGCGTAAGAGTAGCGACGCTGGTAATTCAAATATGCCAAAGAGAAACCCTAAAGTGCTTCCTTTAAGTGAAAACGTGAAAGTTCCCAACTTGATAAGGAAAGAAAAACAATTGTATGCTGAGGCTGCTAAGATCTATGGTAAAAACCAATCTTCTGTCTGTGAAACTGTGAAGAAAGAGAAAGAAAATTGGGCTAGTTTTGTTGGTGCACCTCAAACTGCAAAAGTTACGGACACAGTGCATGATAAGTACTTAGTTAAGATAGAAAAGGTGTTAAATTCGTGCAATAACGTATTTTGAGAGAGAGAGAGACCACATTCACATAACTTTTATTACAGTATATTGTTATAATGGTTCTATTTTATTATTATTTATTGCTTTTAACCTGTTACTGTGCTTAATTTATAAATTAAACTTTGTCACAGGTATGTATATATAGGAAGAAACATTGTACACATGGGGTTCAGTACTATCTGTGATTTCAGGCATCCATTGTGATCTTGGAACGCATCCCCCATGAATAAGGGGAGATTACTATATTTTCCTGGAGCCATGTACAAACACACACATATAAAATTATATTTCATTTACTCTTTTGAACTGCCTTATGCCTTTTCGCTTAAAAATATATTATGAACCTCTTTCTACTTAGGGATGTATATATATACAATAATTTTTAAGGTGGCAGAGTATTCTATTTTAACCACCACTGTCAATTATAAGTTTTTCTAATATGAACAATACTGGAGATAAATGCCCGTGCATTTTCATAGGAAAAATCCCCAGATAAGGAATTGCTGGACCAAAAAGTCATGTCTTTTCAAAGGCTTCCCACACCTATTGCCAAACTGCCTTTCAGCAGTATAACAGCACATTTCCCTACGCTCTGGCCAATGTGATATTGTAATTCCTTTTAGTCTTCACCAATTCGATAGGCAAAACTAAAATAATGTCTCACTGTTTTTATTTGATAGGCAAATATAGAATGGTAAATCTTTTTTATTGAAGAAATTATTAGAGATACTAAGCATTTTTCATTTATTTTGATACCTTGTTTTTCTTCTTTGGGGATTAGTTATTTATTCCCCCCCCCCTTTTTTTTCCCTATTTATCCTTTCTAATTTAGTCGTAAAGGTTCTTCATGTGTTAGGAATACCAATTATTTGTCTCTCATAATGTTACAGAAGCTTCTCAGTTTTCATTTTTCCTGATTTAGTTTATAGTATTTTTGATGTGCTGAAGTTTTAATTTTGCCTTAGTCAAACCTGTTAGCCTTTCTCTTTATGGTGTCTACCATTGGTGATCTTTGCTGCATATTGATTGAGATTGCTTATTTTATGGTATATCTCATAGATGGAATGTGGGCTAGTAAAACATACCTTAAGTCAGCTCAGATGCCAAGCTGAGCTCTAGCTATGCCAAATATGCTTTGGCAGAATAAGGCATGAAATTTTTTCTAGAATCAGAATAAAGAACCTGAGTGTTAAGAGCCCCAGGAATATTCAAATGTATCCAGAGATGGTATAGTTTGACACTGAAGAAAAGCTTTGCAATGTATCTCCAAAATGTTACTGAAACATCATCACTGTGGCAGATCATATTTTCTTCCTAACATGTGACTTTGACCCACCTTCCATGGGGAAGCAGAGTCTGTGTTCCTTCCCCTTGAATCTGGCATTCCAGGGGAAGTAACGCTATGTGACTTTGGAGGCTACGTTATCAAAAAGCAGCATCGTTTCCTCCTGGTTCTCTTGGGACACTTGCCTTTGAATCCCTGGTCATCCAGGTGAGAATCTGATGGCTCTGAAGCCATCCTGGGAGAGAAAGCTCAAACCAGCCCGGGTGGAGAGACCACAGGGAGAGACCCCAAGTAAAACTCCATGAAGGAGAGATACACAGCCAGCCTCCAGCTGCCTTAGCAGCTCTCTCCCCACCCCAAGCTGTTCCAGGCCCAGCTCATTTCAGATCTGAGAGTCTAACAGATATGAAAAATGGAACTACCAGTACTCCTCCCCCAGCTTCTTCCCTTCCCACTTGAGGGCACACCAACCTTACTTCCAACTGCTAGCACCTGCATCTTCCAACTAAGGGACTGTCTCTGACCCCCAAAGCCCACTCTACATGCCCATTCAGTGGACCAGAAGTGCCAGGAATTCATTCCATCCCTCTCACTGAGATTAGCCCTCAACCAATGGCTAATGCACGTGGTGTATCAATACCCAAGCTCCCTCACCCTCAGGTTGGATAACTGCAGTGCATATTCTAAACCAGCCCACAGATTCCCCAGAAGGGTCACATTCTGGTTACCCACCATGATAACTTACTTCATAAAGACTCCTCTATTTCCCACCTTTCTTTTTCTGTCTCACTTCCCTACTCCCCTGACATTTTGGGTTTTTGTTTTATCTAGGATCACCTCCCAAGTAAATTACCTGCACTCACCTCTCTGTCTCAGAGTCTGCTTCTGAGGGGACCCAAACTCATGTTTTAAGTGACAGGAAATTATCATGTGCATGACAGGGAAAATATCTGATATTGAGATAACGCAGATGGGAACCTGACCTAGCCCTGGGGGTCAGAGATGATGCAGGGGTTGAGTGAAGGTCTGAAGAGCAAGTAGGAATAGGAGTAGGAGGGACAGACTCAGGTTGGAGGGAATTCTAGTCAGAGGGATCAGCATGGCAAAGACCTGGAGGCAAGAGCAAGTCTGATGTATTAAAAAAAATGGAAGAGATTCAGTGAGGCTGAGACATGGACCAGGAATGGTACAGAGATGAGGGATGAAGCTGGAGAAGTAAGAAATGAATAGATCATGAAGGACTTTGTTTACTAGGCTGAGAAGTATGGGAAAATGTGCCTATTTTCAGCAGGAATTTTTAACATTAACATTCCCAAGCTTTGCTAGGATTTAGATATAAAATGTGGGACTTGGATAGTCTAAGCATTTTCCTATATATTTTTCTCAAAAACTAATTCTATCCATCTTGCTCTGCTCTTCCTTGTGGCAGTTTTTCTCATTCTACCAGAAGCCGTGCCCTTGTCCTTAAGCTCTGGTTTAAAGCTAAGCTTCTCGGTGTGGGGAACATGTCCTGTCATCCTTTGTATACCCAGAGTACCTAGCACAAAGCCCGGGTCATGGTAAATGCTTAGGCGTTTTGGCGTCTTCACTTGCCCATCCCTTTCCCGCCTCCCTCTATCTCTTTCTCTCTCTGTCCCCTCCTCCTCCAATTAAAAACTTGTCTGCAGTCAACCCACATGTGAGTGAATCATCAGTAGCATCTCCCAAAGGGGAAACCCCCTCTGCCAAGCAGCTGGTCCAGCCTCATTCCATGAACATTGCCGAGTGGGAACTTTCCTATTACACAACCGTGATGCAGCCCAGTGCTGCATCTACTTCCCATCTCACCAAACTCAGCTTTTCCACCATCTTCCATCTTGTCTTCCTTTTCCTTGAGGGTCTGATTCTTTGCTTTCAAGTCCTACTTACTGTCAAGTGGGCATGTCTTGGCCTTCAGAGGGAAAATAAGTACTTATCCAATTGTGAGACACAGAGAAACACTTAAAGAAAAAGATTAGTTCAAAATACAGAGGAATTGTAGGGTTTAGAGTTTGAATAATAAGACTCCTTTAGACCTGGTTAAACAAATGTTTCCAGTAAAAGACCAGATACTAAATACCTTGAGCTTTGCAGGCCATAAGGTCTATTTTGCAGCTACTCACCTCTGCCTTTGTAGTGGGAAAGCAGTTACAGACAACACCTACATAAATGGCCGTGGCTGTGTACCAATACAACGTGACTTACAGCGAGAGGTAGTAGGCTAATTGGACCCACAGACTGTAGTGGGTCAACACCCAATCTAGACCAATTCTCTCCTACAAATGAGGACAATGAGCCCCAGAAGCGATGCGTTCCTGTTCACCCTGATAATTAATGGCAGTGCTGAGCTCAGGACCTGGGCCTCCCGGCCAGCTAGCCCTTAAGA